CCTGTCCAAGCCTGCTGCTCTGCAAGTGTGGAGAACCTCCCTATACCCCGAGCGCTCGTGTTTTCAAGGGCAGTGGGAGGGAAGTCCCGATCAAAGCACCACCCTTCTGCAGTGTAGTCCCGATTGGGAGCCTTTCACTCCGAGTCATGGAATTCACTAGTGTAGCCATGCTGGCAGCAGCTAGCATGGCCACAGTGGGCAGAACAGCCTCTGGTGTCCTCACTAGCCTTTCACCTGTCGGTGACTGCACCTGCGATGGGCTGGTGCAGCGGGACAAGAGGAAGCTGGGGAGGGCATAGAGTCCCACACAAGGAGCCCACAGATAGGGACAGTGGCATCACCCACAGTCTCACTGCCCTGCCCTCCCTGTCTTCCCCCTAAACCCCAAACCTGGTGGGCTCCTTGGATTTCTCTGAGAAGGGCTGGAGTGAGGCTGGACTCTATGGGCTCAGCCCTGGGCCCCCTGCAAATCCTCTCCCCCTGGGGCAGGAGCCCCTCCTGCATGGACGGAGGTGACCACTGCTGGTCCACTGTCTCTGGCTCTCACCCCCTGGCTTCCCCACCAGCACCACCTCCCTCATAGCTTTCCCTCGGCACCTCCTCGTCACCAGGACCTCTGACTAGCCTTGCGTGGTTGCTTGCTGGAACTCAGAACCGGAGCATGGATTTTAGCAGAATTCTTCTTTAGGTCCATGTCCTTCATTAGTTTTTGTGAGTTCCCTCACTGCTTTTACAATACTTACTTACGCCATCATCTTTCTTCCCTTTCAGCTCAAAACCTCCTTCCTCAAAGTCAACCTTTCTAATATATTTAATGTGTGTCTGTTTTTCCCACTTATTTTTGCAGGCAGGGTGTTGTTTTTGTTTGCGTATGTTTTAACTCATGTACAGGATATGTGTGGGCTATCTCATTCCATTGCTTTCTCACTGAGAACCATGTCCTTGAGTTCCCTCCGGGTCATTAAGTGAGCCTCTAACCCTGGCTTCTAATTGCTGCCTTGTCTCCTCCCCGCATGCCCATCACTGCCCTTTACCCTTCTGTTCTGGGGAGGCACACCTAGGCTTCACCAGCACGAGCAGCATAGCATTGGATGAAGGGTGGTCCTGACGCTGACCTCCTGACGCTGACCGCTAGGCCTGTGCACTTACTCTCTGTTCTTCCCCAGGGCTCACATCTCAGCTACCTGTGACTCCTCCTCACAGCAGCCATGGCCATGATTGCCGGTAAGTGGCCCCGGGTAAAAGAACGCCCTCCGTGTGCCCCCAACTCAGCTCAGAGTGTGACTGACAGAGGTCAGGGCCTGGGTCACCCTGGCGGCCCTTTCTGCTTGTCAGAGAGGCTGAGGATGAAGGATAGTGAAGCTTACCAACACATTCTTGTCACTGTGCTAGGCCCTTGACATTTAGCAGTTCCTGTAAGTTGCATAACAACCTCGTCCCACCTCTCACCCCAGCCCTGGAAGGAAATGTTTTTTCCTTTTTTACCAAGTGTTCAGGACAAGAGGGAAGCTTGATAAGGCTCAGAGCCTGGGAAAGAAGTAGAACAATGCACAGCACCTCCAGGGCGTGGGGGCAGGGTTGTGGGGTGGGAAAGGACTGGGAGGAGGCTCCCATCCCTCCCCAATCTGGGCATGGCAAGTCTCAAAGAGCCCAGAGGCTCCAGGGCCAGGGTGCTACCCTCCCCAACCCCATGAGTGACCACCAGGGAAGCCTAGCAGGCTAATGGACAGAAAATACCCATTTCAGCGGGCTCCTGTGGGTGAGGGCCTGGGATGTAGAGCTGCCGGCAGCCTGGCACCACCTCTCTAGTCAGGTTCTAGATTTTGGACCCCTGAGTCCATATCCAACCCAGGTGGCCTTCTGGCCACTCAGAGTCTAGCCTTCACGCCCTTGTCTCTCCAGTGTCTCCACCCATCACCCACCTCCAAGGTCTCCCCTGGGGAGCTGCTTATGCTCCTCTTACGCTCTGCTCCTCTTACACATCATCTTTTTCTTTTTTTTTTTTTTAGAGAGAGATTTTTGCTATAGGCTGTGTGTGCTCACTAGAGAGACACAGAGATAGTGAGAAATTGGCCATGCAACAATCCCTTCTCAGATTTTGGGCATACACGCACACATGCATGGTGCGTCTCAAGCTACTGGGTCCAGTCGACTACATGGAAGCTTAACCACTACCAGCACCCTAACCACTACACCACCTGCTATTCCTACACATCTTCTATTTTTAAACTCCTAGTCCTACCAGCCCTAGAGACTGCAGTCCTGGTCCCAAGGGCCGCAGGGGACCAGGACCTCTGACTGCATCCCTTCCTGCAGGGCTTATACTAAGCCCAGATGTTCTGAAAGATGGTCAAATGCCATGGATAGCTCCAGAGGAGCAAGGATGAGTTCAGGTTGGGAGAATCTGAGGCTTCCTGGAAGAGGGGGGCAAACTGCAGGCCTTGAGGAGTCAGGAGTGTTAGTTTGTCCAGCCTTGCTCTTGAGTAGCATTCATGCAGTCCACACACACCGACCCTGACTTCAGCTGAAATGGAACACAGCTCTCTACCATGAGGATATATGGCCATCTCAAGAGCTTTTTCTGGGGACCAGCAGTTAGTGTAATGACTATGTTGCTGGACTCCCATGTAGTCGACTGCGGATCGCGTCCTGGACCCAGTGGCTTAAAACTCACACCGGGCGTGTGTGCGTGCGTGCCCAAGATCCCGAGAGGAGAATGGAGAAGGGATTGCAGCGTGGCCATCCCCCCTGGGGGATGATTTCTCGCTTTCTGGCTCTCTGTCTCTCTCTGTCTGTCTGGCGAGCGCATGCGCCCTATAGCGAAAACCTCTCCAAAAAAAAAAAAAAGAGCTTTTTCTGGACTGTAGTAGGAAGCCCTGTGACCTTACCGACCCTACCTCAGATGAGCCAACCTGGCTTGGGAGGCAGAGAGGAAGGAAAAGATAACTTCTGATTCCTCCACAAACAACCTCCAATCAACCAACCAACCAGCAGACAAATAAACAAAAGCGAGCAAAAAGAATGAGATGGTTGAGTTTTCTGGAACAAAGATTTAAAAGCCCAGTTTCAGTAACTCTAAGCCAGGACATGCAAATTCCTTCTGGATAGGTCACCTGACTCCCCAGCAATCCGTTCCTGCTCCAGAAACCCTGCTTCTCTATTGTATCTGGGGGCAGGGGAAGCAGGGGCCAGTCCTTCCTGAGGCTCCCAGCCTGGGGCAGCTGCTTCCCCATAGGTGAGGGGTTGGCCCAGAGAGTAGAGGCCAGGCCAGCGTGAGTCTCTCACACAATGTTCTTTTGGTTTCCAGCCAAAGCTGCTGCCACTGTGGCCGGAGGAGGTAAGCCTGCAAAGCAAGGGCTCCAGCCCTCAGCTGTCCCAGCCCAGGGATTCCAGCAGAAGCTAGTCTTGTTTGTGTTCAGGTTGTCCCTGAGCCTCACACAGACAGCGAGGGCAGGATGGAATGAGGGAGATAAGCAGGAAACGAGGCCCTAGAAATAAGGAGCCAGAAATAAGACACCAGAAACTTGGACGCAAGTTGTCCAAGAAAGGCAGAGGTGGAGGCAGCACCAGCTGGGCCCGTCTTCTTGGCAGATAATTCAGTGTGCCCTCGGGCATGACGTAGAACTATGAGCTCCTGTCTCCTCCCCTGAAACACAAGTCCGTAATGCCTCTTCAGGGTTACCATGAGGGTTGCTTGCGACCAGACGACCAATTTGAATGCAGTAAGAGCATTGAAGGGATGCCATTGGCTTGGCTCCCTGGGTCTGGTGGCTTCTGATGTGTTCAGTGGCGATGGCACGGGGCCCTCGAGCTACCTCTTAAAGCAGCAGCTCTAGATGGGCTCCTTATTCATGCGGCCTCTTGGGCAAGACTTGCTCCTGTGGAACGTTTGCTGCTCAGCAAGGATAGGAAGCTTGCAGCCCACACCTGAGCTTGAGCGTTTGACCAAGGCAGACACTGATGCTTGGAGGACCAGTGACTTTCCCAAGGAGGTCCTGCTGCTCAGAACCCTGTCCCATGGTTCCACTTGCCCTTCTCCCACTTCTCCCACGTGTCATCCTGGCCTTTGGCTGCTGGCCATGCCATGGCTTCTTCCCAGCTCAGTGCTCATCTCCTTCTCCAGACTCCCTTAAGGTCCCCAAGCTCGACTATGGTTATGTGGGTCCCTCCTCCTGAGCCCCCTCACATCTAACTCTCGCCCCTCATAGTCATCGCTGTAGTGGTTGTGCCCATGGGGGTCAGCGCCCTGGGCTTCACCGCCGGAGGAATCGCCGCCAACTCTGTGGCAGCCAACATGATGTCGTTAGCAGCCATCGCCAATGGGGGAGGAGTTGCTTCAGGGAGCCTGGTGGCCATTCTGCAGTCAGTGGGTGAGTGTCCAGCAGGGACTGCTGGGGAGGACAAGAAGGACCTCTGGGGACCCGGCCCAGTTCTTAGCCCATGGTCCTCAGTCTGTTCTGTGTCTCGCCCACCATATCCTGTCCCTGTGTTTCTCAGGGGGAGAGGGAGGAGAAAGAGCCCTGGCCTGCGTGTGCTGGGTTCAGGCCCGCTCTGCCCTCAGCGCATTTGCCAGGGTGCCAGGGGCCTCTTTCCCCATTGAGCTTTGCCTCCTTCCAACTCTCAACGTCCCAGCAGGAGGTCATGGCACGCAGAGCTGCCTGCAGCGGCCCCACTCCAAGATAGAAATCCGGGGGGTTTCAGGAAACAGAGTGGGGCTAGTCGGGGCTTCTGGTCCTTGGGCCTCCTGAGAGGCCCTGGAGGCTCCGACCTCACATTGATGCCCCAGAACTACCTCAGCCTGCCCGTGCCACCCTGCTCACCCTCCTGCTTCACCCCTAGGAGCTGCTGGACTCTCCCTGGCCTCCAAAGTCATCGTGGGCACTTTTGGGACTGCTGCTATGGCGGGCATCATGCGGCTGATCCCGTAACACGTCCATGGCCTTCCCACTGCAGAGAAGAGGATCACCCCGGGGAGAGGTGGTGCTGCCCAGCCAGCCTGCTTAGGCCAAGTACAGGTCCTAGGGTTACAATGCCCGAATGCCGCCCCCGGGGGAAATCAGAATAAAAATGAATTGTGACTACCTGTCCTCCAGCCCTTCCTTAGTGCAGAGGCGCAGACACACCGGTGACCCTGCTACTTGCAGTCGGGACAGACCTGTCGTAGGTAGTCAGCTGTGAGCCGGCAGTCCTGAGCGGGCAGAAGGCCATCCACCTCATCAACCACAGCTTATCCGGGTGTTCCTTCCTCCCAGGGATGGTGCTGGGAAGGGGACATTTATCCCATTTTTTATTACCCAAGCTCCCTTCAAAGAACAGAGGGAAGGATGTTATCTTCCCTCCTGCCATTCCACACACACGCATACACACACACACACACACACACACACAGGAATTCAGCAGTGCGCTTGGCCAACATTCTACTTCTCACTCGGGGTAATAAACTGATACGGACAGAATTGTCCCTATACCTGTCCCTATTTGTCCCTGTGCTCGTACCTTCAAAGTTCACACTGTGGGGGAGGGGGAGCAGCAAATGGCACGATGGTTAAGGCTCTGGACTCCCACATGGCCATGGCCAACAGTGGTTTGAATCCCGGACCTGGCGGCTTGCTTTCTCACTTTCCTTCTCTCTCTCTTTCTCTGGTGAGTGTACACGCCCTGTAGCAAATTGAAACATCATAATGATAAAGTTGAATGATTCATTTAAGAAAGAAAACAAATGCAGGAAGTCCACACTGGGCATGCAGGATGGCGGAATCAGACTCTGTCTGCTGAGAAGTAACAAGCACAGGTCAAAGCCGGCAGATTCAAACAAAGGAGCGCTAGACAGACTTCCCCTTCCAGACCTTCACGCAGGGCGGACACAAATCAGCGCGACACCTAACCCATTCCCAGGGCAGTCCTCTAACAGCTGCCCACCCCATGCATCCTGGTGTGGAGCGTATTGCTTTCCTTTTACAATTCTTCACTTTTCTATTAAAAACTTGTCTTTTCCTACTTTGCTCATGGTCTGAGTCTCAGGGCAGATCTCTAACCTTACGGGCCTGGAACGAAGAACCGAGTGTTCCACACAACGTAGCTCAGCGTCCCTGTCTGAGAACAGACCCACCAGGGACCCTCCGATACTTGCAGTCGGGGCAGACCCACCAGGAGCCCTCATCCTCGGGGCGGGAGGGGCACGCTAGGCTCCATTCTCTCTCCTACCGCGTCTTCACAGAGTGTGTGGGTGTGGTGAGCTGGAATGAATCCACATCGGAAGCCTCAGCTGTCCCCTGTCCTGCTACCGACTCTGTCACCCTTCACGCCTCCCTAAACGAGGAGTTGAGCTAACTGACCTCCATGATCCCGGTAGGGTGGGTTAGGCTCTTGGTTGCTGTGAGGAGAGAGGAATAGAGGGAGCCATGCTGGCTGAGACTTCACGATGACAAGAGCAGAGAGAGAACCTTCTCCCGGTAAAGCGAGGTCTCTCTGATGGCGACCACACACACAATCCGATGACCACAGTACGGGGCCTTTTACTGCCAGTCATAGACGCACTAGCCCAACACGGGGGAGGGGAGGGCGAGTTGACTCTGTTCACTCTCAAAAAAGCCACCGAAATGACAGTCAAGGGTTAAAGAAAGGCACACACCTAGGAGGACAAAGAGAAGGAAAGAGGAGCTGACAGTGACAGTGCCAGAGATGACATGGAGAGATGGCTCCACCTAGCAGCCTGAGAAAACTGAACCTGAAGCTGTCAGTACAGAGGCGAGGCTGAGGCAACGTCGCCCCGTGGGCTCAGCCAGTGCAGGGCTGCGGGCTGGCGTGAGGGCAGACGGACAGCAGGAGGCCCCCTCGGGCCCCCTCTGCTAGACAATGGGAGACTTGTTTCTGGAGGGGTTGGGTCCCTGCACCAGGGGGTACCAGGCACAGCTAAGAGCAGGAGCTTTTATGTCCAGAGCACATAGAAGAGGCTCTTTCATCACACACAAGAAGAGAGGAGCATGCCACTTCCAGAGTCTGCCAACTAGTATCTTGTAACCCTGAGCTTTGGCAGCCAAGGATGAAGTTGATACCTCAAAAAGCAAAGCGGGGACCAGAAGGTGGCATGGTAGATTAGAGGCTGGACTCCCACACAGTTGATCCCAGTTCGAGTCCCAGACCTGGGAGCTTGAAACTCACACTGGTGCGTATGTGAGTGTACTCAAAATCCAGAGAAGAGAATAGAGGAGAAGGGACTGTGGCCTGCCCATCCCCCTGGCTGTGTGTGGGGGGTGGTTTTTCATTTTCCCTCTCACTGTCTGGCTCTGTCTCTTTGGTGAGTGCACGTATCTTGTAGCAAAAAAATCTCAAAAAAAAAGAAAAGAAAAAGAAAAAAAGCAGAGGAAGGAAAAGGGCCTAAGATGGCAAGGTTAAGCTGCTGAAGCAAAGTTTGCCTGAAGCACTCGCCTTACCACCTCTCACTGCACTTGGCAATACGTCCCTTCAACTCTCAGCCAGTTGCAGTCAATTTCTGGTACCTATATAATCCTTAATGAACACACACCTCCTCCAGGAAGCCTTTCCGGATAGCTGCAGTTAGAATTCAGCTGCCTTCCTGTCCTACGTGCCATAGCTGGGTCCTCTCAGTGTATTACACATGTTGTGTTCTCTTGCGCATTCACAGTGGCTGGGTAACAAGTGACCACAAAACAGTGGCTTAAAAACCAACTCACTCATGATTCTGTGGCTCACCACTTT